TAACAATTGTGTGCTATGTATGTAAATGCCCCCCATAAAAGAATTGATGCCGTTGAAATGAGAATAGGTTATCACCAGCATAACTGACATCCATTGATGGCTTTAGTGATTACAACGAGCTTCCACAACCTCCAACTATGAAAATGAAGATTTTCGACCCAATCTTGTTGGAGGTAGAGTGGCAGAATCACTCGCAGGAGATGGAAAAAATTCAGATACAATCTCACAAGAAGTTGGAGTAATCTCCATGTCGATTCCACGCTTCCTATCCATAAAAGCCGGCTTCACAGGAGAAGCAATGTGCCTGTTTTTGCTACTTAGCATGGCCACCACTTCTGACATTGATGGCCTTAAGCTCGGATATGGCTGCAGACATAACAAAGCCACCTGAAAAACATGTAAGACCTCATCTTGCTCAATTCCATCTGCTTTCAGTCGGGGATCAACCAGGTCCAGCATGATTGAGCTCTCATAAAGCTTCCAAGCCTGCCGGTAGATTCAATAAAAGGGATATCTAAGTCAGCAGAGTTTGCCAAAATTGGCCAGAATTGGTTTAATATATCTGTGGAAAGATGTAACAAACATACATATTCCGGGAGATATTGCATCTTGGTAGGTAAAGTGAGGTCAGTATTCTTCCTACTACAGACAATCTCCAGAATGAGTACTCCAAAGCTGTAGATGTCAGCCTTTTCTGATAGTTCCCCTTTAATAGCATATTCAGGTGCGGTGTATCCTCTGGATGAAGTCATTGTATTGATCATATGAGTGACATATAACGTTATATATAAATATCAGATGTTATATGAGAATATTTGAGAGTGAATGAAGACTGAAGTTTCATAAAGCAAATTCTAAATAATTGGGATGAGAAAAAAATGATGACATTGATTGATGATGAAACTTACAGGGTTCCTGCAAATTGTGCGCTGAGATAGGCCTCATCTTCAGGGAATAACCTTGCCAGCCCAAAATCACTGATTTTAGGCTGAAATTTTTCATTCAGGAGAATATTGCTCGCCTTAATATCTCTATGCACTATCCTCAAGTTTGAATCCTCATGCAGATACTGTAATCCCCTGGCTATGCCAAGAATGATCTGAAACCTTGTTTTCCAGTTGAGGAATATCTCACTGTTTTCTGTGCCAAGAAAATTTTATTAGAGGCGACAGTAAAAGAGATGTCAAACTGGATCTCGCAGACTCAGAGGGATAAACTGACCATATATTAAGCAATCCAAGCTTCTGTTCTTCATGAATTCATACACAACAAGTCTGTGTGATCCCTCGGAGCAGCAGCCCAAGAGGCGAACCAAATTCTTATGCTGGATGCTTGTTAGCATCCTCACTTCAACAAGAAATTCAGACTCTCCCTGTCCAGACTTTCCAAGGCACAGTTGCTTAACAGCTATCCTCCTTCCATCATCTAGCCTTCCCTGTAACACATAAGAAATCACTCTTCATTCCTTAAATATACCTACAATGGTATTAGAGCCATCTTCAATCTAATACTAGCCATAGACCTTTTCCAACATAATCATGGTATACGTATTCCGTTCATCCATTCCAATGCTTATTCTTTAGGGAGAAAATTATTATTTTAGGTTTATTAAATCGTGGACCTATTTTTGAGTCCGAGATTTGTGGGATGCTATCAGTAATGGATATTAATTCATAACTATGCATAAAATGTATTTTTGGGACGATTCAAACAACCCACTA